GCTTGTAGAATAGTAGCAACGTGGATCCTCAGCCCAGCAGTCTCATCTCCGAAGAACGTAGTCTGAGGACATGGCGTGGGGGTGAGGAGGACAGATTAATACAGCTGTCGCGTTAAATTCCGCAATTATTGAAAAATACTGCGGGCAAGGCAGCGTTAGATGGCGAAAAGATAGATGCTAAAATAAACAAACTTTGGGGTGTGTGAAGGATGGAGGCGGAGGGAAAGAAAAACTGAATATTGAATATAGTGGCATTCCTTACTTTGTTTAAAAATTAGATTTCCATAGTCGTACGCTGTGAACATTTATTATGCTATTATTTATTAGAAGAAAACAGCTCCAAGCCAGATGTTAGAGAGCGAGGGCTGGAAAGTCGTCCCACCGGCTCGGCGTGGGTCAGCTCGTCCCAGCGCACGCGTGCTCGCGCCTGTCCCACCCGGGGCCGGCGGGCCCGCGCCCTGCCCTGGCGTGGACCCTGCCTGTGGGCGGTCGCCTCCTGCTCCCTCCTTGTGTCTGGGGGGGCCGGGGCTGTGCGCAGTGCACGCCCCAAAGGGACTGACCGCCGTCTGCGGGCCCCTGACACGCTGCAGTGCGGATAAGCATGAGTTATAATTTTTCTCTTGCTTATTTAAAGTGTCTTCGTGTTCAGACCCTCCCAGTGAGCCGAGATCTTTGAGCCAAACCCAGAGGAAGGGGGAGGTCGATACGCAACGCTCCCCGAAATGGCCCATCGGGCGTCCTGTGCGGCAGGGCTGAATCCCCCCTGGCTGCCAGCACGAGTGAGGTTTGGTGCGGAGTCACACCAAAACAGCATTTTCTGTGTGAGAAGTTGAAGGAGAGGGTCCAGTGGCCGGGCTGGCTGCGCGGCCACAGCTCTCCCCGGTGTGGGTTTGCTCGCCATCCCGCTCCGGAGTGGCTCTGCCCGGGGGGAGACCGCCCTGGGGCGTGCGGGGCAGATCACCAGTGGGTAGCTCTTCGTGTTGAGATGAAATTGCTGAACCTGGGGTGTTGGTAACTGGTGAGGGCCTGGTGTTCCCCAGGGACGGTCTGTGGTGAAGGTCGGGAGCAGGGGTTACAGCAGATGGAGGAGACGAGGTCTCTGAGCAGGGTCCCTCTGCGCTGATCCCTGCACCGTGGAGCGAGAGCGCGGCTTTGCCCAGAGACCCGAGCGCTTCGCAAGAGGAAGAGGGGCCGGGTCCGGTTTGACGTGTGCGTAGGAATAGGTGTTGTGAGCGGCCCGGGACTGCGCTGTGGTTCGTGTACGTACAGGAACAGCCCACGTGCCCCTGGGAAGCTGTACTCACCAGCCGTATGGTTTCCATCAGAGCGTTCCTCTGTCTGTTTCTGATTTAAAGTGGAGCTTTGACTAAACCTGATCAATATTTTGCATGCCATGCGTGAAGAACCAGATGTTGGAAGTTTCCTATCATTGAGAAGGAGGGGGTGAACACCCACCCCCAGACTTGCAGAAATCAATGTTCTCTGACAGAAGTTGGTTGGTTTTTCTAGGAACAATATATTCCTTTGATTTTCAAGTTGATTTGTCTTCTAACAAGGTTCTGGTTTAATATTTTGAATTTGTTTGCTGTGATACGGATAAATTCTCACAAGGGGAAAGCTTAACAGTATGATGGACAATAACTACACGTGCTTATCCAGCGTTTCATCACTTCCAGCAGCTCGCAGCCGGGACTTGCTCGGCCGTCACGTTGTCTGACTCTGGCCTGCTCCTTTCTTCCGTTGGAAGACTGATGTGAATCGGAGGTGGGCGTGCGATGCCGCACCGTGGCCAGGGTGTGGGCACCCTTGGGTCCTGGCTCCTCCAGCACGACGGGCGGGTGAAGCTGACCCAAGCACGAGGGATGTTTGAACATGCGTGGAGCGGGAGCAAAAGAAGAGCAGAAAATAAGACATGTTTATTAAGCTGTTTAAAACAAATGTTTTCCTAAAATCTCCTTTTAAATGAGAGCTGTACAGGCTGTGCCTCTGGTTCCCGCAGAGACCATGTCCTTAATATTTCCTTGAACCTGTGACCAGATTTTTCTCTAATTGCTCACTGGGGGTTTCCTCTGCCTGCTCGCGGAAGCTGCCGCTGAGCCCGTTGGCACTTTCTGAGCTTGAACGCGGTGTTCGTAGGACGGGGGCTTCCCCAGCGTGTCTCCCAGCTGATGGAGCGAGACCCCCTGCCTGCGGCGAGATGGGGCGGTGGTTTCATCGCCGAGATGGGATCTAAGCAGGACAGAGCAAGGCTGGCGGAGATGGGCCACGGGAGCCGGTCGCGTGGCCCTTGCGACTGGCTTCCTAACCTGGGCTTTTTGTGTCTTAAGCCATTTCTCTTTTTCTGGCTCAGGAAGAGGGTAATGCGTGCAAACAATAGAAATGAGAAGAAGTTCTTCTGAGGGAAAATAGCAAAAAATCTTTTGAGGGCACCAGCGGGATTAGTGCCCTGGTGGATTCTTCAGATATTACAGTGAATTTAATTAAATACATCGCGATCCCAAAAGAGGCTAGTCTAATTAGCCAGATCTAGAATACATTTATTCTCTTCCCTCGCCCTTCCAATCAGAAGCCTCCGCATCAGCTCCTATCCTATTTTTAATCATTCCTAGACTCAGAGGGCTCTCCTTCCTCCGTGATAGCTAAGCACACAGCGCTGGGTAATATGTGTCTTTAATCTTATCTTAGCTGTAACTGAGATAACACACGTCAGAATTTTTACCAGAAGGTCCTGGCTGCACGTAGGCAATATATTTGATTGACAAACCTTGAGATCATGTCCCAACCACCTTACTTATGCGCCTTGGGCAAAGCGCGTGGTGAGCAGAGAGCTTCGTGAGATGACCCCAAAGACGTTTGAAAGTCTTGAGGTTGGGTGGCAGGAGCTGGCAGGGATTATTGCTTAGCTGAAGTGTGTAGGTGTGTGGTGGGAGCACAAATGGCCTTCACTGAGGAGGCTTTCACGTCATTTGACTTTGGTATCCGTTTTCCCTCAACTCGTGATAAGCCCTTACTGCGGGAACTGGGGAACTTACTGTGAACTCTCGGCCCCGCTGCTGCCCAGACTGAGCAGAGAGCGGCGGTGCCGTGGCAGCCAGCACAGCTGTAAGCAGTGAATTCTTCCCTCTGGTTTTAAAAATTAATTGCTGCATCCTTGGGGTCCATGACGTAGAATAGCTATTTGTTTCCCTAGCAGCATGGACTGCTGTGCCAGGCGATGGATAGATTTTTGTCAAATAATCAAGGTATAATGCTCTCAAATTAGCTATATTGGCTGCGATAGCACAGCTTCGGAGGGTGACAAGTTTTTTCCAAGTGCTAACCTCTTGCGGTGATACCCAGCTGTGTGCTCACCGTTGGCTTTTCAGTCTGGACCGCTGTCGCGGCCATCTTCCAGGGCAGGCTGCTGCGTTCTTCCCGACCCAAGGCAGTCAAACCTGGATGCCAGGGAACAGAGTGCTGGGTGATGGATGGGATGGCACACGCTCCCTGCTCCACTTCCATACGCTGTTTCCAGGACCTCTCAATCTAATGGGTTCGTTGTGTTCTAGGATCGCTTTGGTTTCATTCTTTTTAGTTTTCGATGAGAATTTATCAAATTGAGTTTTATCTGTTTGACATGAAGTTGGATCCCCTCCCAGGATAGGCTTTAAATATGAACGAATTAGCTATGCGTCGGTCATGAATAGTTGTTAATGTTGGATCTGGTCTTTTCTTTCACTGAAGGAGGTGATCTTGCCTAGCTCAGTTTTTGCTTCTGTGCTCGTTTCAGTGTCTGGCATTTTTCTTTCTTCTAAGCGGGAGAGTGTGTGGTACTTTGAGAGCAAGCAGGCTTGATCCTACTGTGTCTCTGTCAAAAAATGGTTGCTTAATTCCCAGGTGGCTTTTAGCAATTTACAGTGGACTAACCCAGGGAGACTGGAGGCGATAAAGGAAATTCACATCTCTCTACTTTCTTCACAGCACCTTCAGCATCACGAGAGCGGGGTTGAGGGTGAAAGCTGCTATTACCACTGTGTCCTCTGTAACTACTCCACCAAGGCCAAGCTGAACCTGATCCAGCACGTGCGCTCCATGAAACACCAGCGGAGCGAAAGCCTCCGGAAGCTGCAACGCCTCCAGAAAGGTCTCCCTGAGGAGGAGGAAGACCTGGGACAGATCTTCACCATCCGCAAGTGTCCGGCTGCCGAGGCGGGTGAGTGCTGTCTCCCTTGCATGCACGGGGCTGGGCGCTGGGCTCCTCGCGTCAGCGCCAGACCCTCGCGGCAGTTCCGTGCCGAGCTCGGTGGCTTTCTTGTTTCCCTTCCCTGCTGTGGGGATGACGCTGATCGCCAGTATGGGAGGGAAGTCCTGGCTGCCCTGAGGTGGGACAAGACCCCCGTTGTACCTGCAGCGCCCAGCGCAGCTCTGCCTCGCGGGGCTTGGGGGTGGTGGCTCTGAGGCACCAAGTGCTTACGCACGTGCTTCGTTTCGTGCTTGCCAGTGGCCCCCTCCGTTCCGGCGAGGCTGAATGCACGTTTGACGTGCAGCAGTGTGTATGTTCGGTCAGGTTAGTGTCTTAAACGGTGGAATAGTGTATGAGCGTCTGGAGATACCATCGCATTTGAATGACTCAAACTAGCGTACTGCACTTTTTGTAGGTATTTTGCAATGTCTCGAGTTGATGTCTTCAGCGCCAGTGTGATCCTGTCCCAGCTTGTTCACTGATTTCTAGTGTTTCAGCCACACTGGATCAGGAGGAGGAGCTGGTCGAAGGGGGGGCAAGGGGAGGGATGAGCGTTTGTCTGTTTTCCATGTCTCCTCTTGACAAGGTGGATAAAGTCTAGGGCTGGGATGAAGCATTTGCTCATACAGAAAGGACAGCAAATAGGAAAGGGGCTGCAGCTGTGAATCTGGCAAGAGAAAATGCGCCTTAAAGGGGACAGTTAGGCCGGGCAAAACAGAAATTGTACTTTGTCTGATCATTTAAAGGGTTAAAAAGTTTTTTATGTTAGGAAAAAGCAAGATCTCGTGAAGCCCTCTTTGGAGGGGGGAGGAGGAGAGCCTGCCCGAGTAGGCTGGTACGAATGCTGTCAGGGAGGTGAAGGTGCTGGAGCTGGGGAAACGCCAGCGAAAGCCTTCACAACCCTCCTCTTGGCTTCAACCAGGACTTTCCTCCATGACTGCTGTTGAAATGGCCACATCTTGCAGAAGAGCGCTCTGAGGAACGGGCGTTTTGCAGTTAATGCACACAGAGACAGGGAAAGTGAGCTTAGCTTAAAGGCGTCGAGAAAGGAAAGCAGCACCAGGGAATAGATGTGGGTCTTGGAAATGTTGCTCAAATTAAGACCGCGGTCGCATTGCCGTTACACATATTAGTAACAAGGATCTGAAACACTTGCAAAACACCCGAAAAGTAAACCAGGAGATTTTTTGTGAAGAGTGAAATTCAGTCTCATGGAAAAAAGTGGCCGGTCTGTGAACTCGGCAGCCCGGGCATGGCAGATCCCTTCCCAAAGGTCGCGGTGACGGGGAGAGCGCGCTGCGGTTGCCATGCCATCCCGGAGGGGACAGCAGCTCTGATGGCCGCTCCACTGCTTTGCGATGCTCCGCTGTAGAAAAACATTCAGGTTTCCAAAGGGTATGGTGACCAGTGCTGTATGGTTTGAGAGTTTTCTTCAAAGCAAAATGAACAGAGAGGAGAAACCATCTGTGCCCTTTTGTGATGCATAGAACAATCTGGAAAATCTTTGTTTACTTTAGAAATTTTTGTTTTCAGAGTCCCTCCGGGATTGTGACATTGCAGGTACTGAGAGTGCGGAAGCTGACTGGCTGAGAGAGAATTGTTTGTTGACCATTTAAAAAAAAATATTTTTTTTTTTAACTAAAAGTCTTGACAAGTCACTTAACAGAAATCTCGGTTTAAAAATATTTTGCTTTTTCAAATGGCTTGAAATAATTTCCTTTAAGCTTGTTGGTTCTTCAACAAAAACTGACAGCAAACAAGACACTAAGAATTTCTTTATCATACTTTATTTCAAAGGTTAAAAATACAAGTAAGGATAAGACTCTGTAGAATGCAAAGGAGGGGAACCTCTGATCTGTTTTGCAGGTCGCTTTGACCGGAGATATTTAATTTCAACCTCTCTTCCAGCCCGTTGTTGAGCAGGCACACCGCGCCGGCGTGCTGGTGGCTACAGGCACGAGGCGCTGGACCGGTTACCCCGCAGTGATGGGAGTCGGATTTGGGTGGGAAGCTGCAGAACCCCCGTGGGGGAGAACGGATGCTTCGTCTCCCGTTCATTCCGCTCCCGTTACGGTAGCAGAACCTCAACGGGA